AATCACGGCGCGTTTAAGCGTGTTTAATTAGACAATAAGTGTGTAAATCATTATGAAGCATAGTACGCTTATCATTTGCACAAAAATTTGGTTATATAACGTTGGTTTTGATCGTGTTTTTCAGTTCAAGAGATATTTTTCTTACCTCCGTTTCTTGTGTTTTTTGTGTTTGTTTTGGTCTTTTTGTGTGTGTGTGTGTGTTTTTTATATTTTATTGGAATGACTGTAAACATACTTGATGTAGAGCATTTACTTACAGATAAAAATACGCTTTGAATCATGATTTCGTCATATATACATTATTCCTGGCAGTTTTAGAGAACATTAAGTAACTATGCTATCGGTATGCATATAAATGGTTTTCAGCAAAATAGGAGGTAGTATGCACTACCTTTATCTAAATTTAATGAGGTGGGTGTCGTCTTTATGTTTCAACGGGTATTTCAATTTCTGAAAGGTATCAGTTTTTGTCATAGAAACGTATAAAGTTCTATGACAATGATCAAGGTGCATATCCATATCGGTACCCTCTTTGCGAAATCTGCTCAAACGGTACCCTCTTTGAACATGCAAAGGTCATTCTCTGCTAAAAACAAACCAGCGATGGATAACAATCCAGTAAAATGTCATTATAATAAGGAAAGGAGGTATGACACGTAGAAAAGATGTATACCACGGAACACTATAATGTTTTATTTATGTGCTGATTTGTCATGTGCCCGATTTTCATGTACTGCTACTTCACAATAAGCTACAAAAAATCGACATGTCTTGCCTCGCATATTTTTCGGGCTGAAATGAACCTATGGCTTGATCATATATGCATCATACATATTTAATATGTTCATATACATATCATCTTCGGACAAATGGCAGTATATATTGTCAAAATGAATGAAAAATTCATAAAAACACCCTACTTTCGGTTTTGCAGCGGCACGGGCTACCTCTCTTCATTTGAATTTTCATATCACAGGTACCCTATCATTTTTTAACCCTCAAAGCACGACATATACTTTTATGTGTTAATCGCTAAGTATGTAATATTTACGTAAAAGTAAGAAATATTACATACATACTTAGCGATTAACGCAAATAAAAGCATATGTCGTGCTTTGAGGGTACCTATGTGTTCAAAAATGAGAGGGTACCTGTGATATAAAAATTCAAATGAAGAGAGGTAGCCTGTGCCGCTGCAAAACCGAAAGTAGGGTGTTTTTATGACTTTTACATTTATTTTTGACAATATACTGCCATTTGTCCGAAGATGATATGTATATGAACATATGAAATATGTATGATGCATATATAATGAAGTCACAGGTTCATTTCAGCCCGAAAAATATGTCGATGTGATGGGCGAGGCAAGACATGTCGATTTTTTGTAGCTTATTGTGAAGTTGCAGTACATGAAAATCGGGCACATGACAAATCAGCACATAAATAAAACATTCTAGTGTTCCGTGGTATATATCTTTTCTACGTGTCATACCTCCTTTCCTTATTACAATGAAATTTTACTGGATGTTATCCATCGCTGGTTTGTTTTTATCAGAGAATGACCTTTGCATGTTCAAAGAGGGTACCGTTTGAGCAGATTTCGCAAAGATCTAGGGTACCGATATGGATATGCACCGTGAACTACTTATTGTCTGCTTTAGAAAGGCGGTTGCTTAAAACATGTAACTGAGAAAAAAAAATTAAACATTTTTTCCTTGGCGGTTTAAGCCATGTTACTGCTGAATACAGGTGACCGCTGATTCAGGTTTTCCTGAAAACCTGATTTTTGTTTGTTTGTTTGTTTCATTTTACGCCTTTTCCCAACAGTATTTCAGTCATATGGGCGGGTAGTTTCCTAACCATCGTTCCTGGAGAGTTACACCAGTACTAGACTACCTTCCTCCGTGCTAAACTACCAAAGCATCTCCCGGGGATCGAACCCACGCCAGAGAGGTAAATGGATTAGAAGTCATCGACTCAAACCCCTCGACCACGGAGGCGGTCGTTCCTGAAGATAGCTTAGCACCTGTTTATCCTATATAGACTGTACACCAAAGCAGTTTCATGTCTTCTCCAGATATATTGAATGATCGTGTTTTAATTTTCCCACATGGCCTCAATGTTGCATTTTGCGGAAACTTATGACATACAACTTTTGTTGACGAACAGTATACACAGAAACATTTAGTGCATTCGTTGGGTTTTATAATGTCAATATGATTTCGCACAAATTTAATTAGGAACTAAAACACGATCAAAACCAACGTTATATAACCAAATTTTTGTGCAAATGATAAGCATACTATGCTTCATAATGATTTACACACTTACTGACTAATAAAATACGCTTAAACGTGCCGTAATTGAGCACAAGAAACACACTGGCAGTAACAAAAGTTATCATAAGAACTCCAGGACATATTTTGAGTTATCACAAGAACTCCGTAACATTTGAAAAATCGGGTATACATTTATTAGCCCGGGCTTTATGTTTGCAACTCTCCACTATAATTAGGTGATTATGTATAGCAACGAAGAAGATCACACATGAAAAGGTCAATATGTACGAACTTCCAGATTTTTTTTAAACGGCGACGAAATATGGACTAAAAGATTTTTTCTGAAACATAATACAATATGTAGGGCAAGCTTAATTATCAAAGTTTAATTTAGCACCTCAAACTCCCCATTTAAAGTTAAAAATAACCATTTTTTAGGCGAGTTCTCCAAGTATATAGAAAAGTTTTCCACAGAAATCCGTAACATTTTCCAGGAACTCCGTGACAGTTATCATAAGAACTCCAAACAAGTTATCATAAGAACTCCATCCTTCGTGTAACACTTCCTCCCCCGTGCCATATAACTTACTATACGATGAAAGAAATCTACTTCTAAATTTAGTAAACTATAATACCATGCTATTTTGATATTTATTTATTAAAGTCGAATTCATGAGTAATAATCGTACATGTTTTGTTTGTTTGTTTCATTTTACGCCTTTTCCCAACAGTATTTCAGTCATATAAGCGGATCGTACATGTAATTAGAATTAGAATTACTTCTATTTAAGACACATACAAAATGTTCTTTTATCATTCCTAAGAAACGGTTTGTTAAAATAATAAATTAATGACATGGAGCTTAGTTGCTATATAAGTTATAACATATTTCTTAATTTCTTCAATTAAAGCTTAATTCTAGATGTAAATGTTCAGATTTCCATTTGTTTCATTTTGTAAATAATCTATGGTCACGAAATTCCGTTGTATTTCATATTTGAACATACTTTCTCACTATGTCAATGTACAACATACATGTATATGATTACTTGATTAGAGTGTCAGTGATAATTGAATGACGTATTGGCGAATGAATATTATTCCCATCTGACTTACAGATGCCCCGCAGAGAGTTATTTACAGATGCCCTTCGGTGCATTTTACAGATGCCCCCCCCCAGGGTATTATTTACAGCTGCTCCTCAGTGTTTAATTTACATGTCCCTCTTCGTTATACCATTTACAGGTGCCCCTGAATTTACATGTATTATTTAATTACATGTGTCCCTCAGTGTATTATTTACAGATGCCTCTCAGCATACAATTTACACGTCCACATTAATTTAACATTCACAGGGACCCTTCAATGTATTATTTGCAGGTGCCTCTCAATTTATCATTTACAGATGCCCCTCTTTTTACCATTTACAGATGACCCGTCAGTGTATCATTTCAGATGTCCCTCATTATATATAATATGCTTTCAAAATTAGTTTACCATTCACAGGGACCCTTCAATGTATTATTTGCAGGTGCCCCTCGGTTTACCATTTACATATGCCCCTCAGTATATAATTTACATGTCTATATTAGTTTCATTCATCAGTGCCCCTCAATGTATTATTTACAGGTGCCACAAAGTTTCCCTTTACAGATTACCCTCAGTTTACCATTTATAGATGAACCCGAGTTAATTATATTCAGATTCCCCTCAGTATATAATTTACATGTTCATATTCATGTGCCATTCATTGGGGCCCCTCAATGTATTATTTACAAGTTTCACTTAGTTTCCCATTACAGAAGACCCTTAGCTTACTATTTGAAGATGACCTTCATTGTATTATTTTATGATGTCCCCCGTCCCCAACCCCTTCATAGTTGCAAGCGGACAAAATCATAAACCCCAGAAAGATTTCTTGATAGCGTTTTCATTTCATAAAAATAAGTTATTGTTTACAGCGGAATTTCCGTCATGTGCGTGGATCCACAGAGCGTGGATCCACAGAGCCAATCAAAATATTGTATATTTATTAAGCAGTCTATTAAAGAAGCTCTGTGTATAAGTAATTAATAAATGTATAAATATGTGATATTATTCGGAGGTGACTTCAGAACTGTTCATTGTTTACCTCGGAATTTCAAAATAAAAAACACTTAAAGTTGACCAGTCTAAAAAAAATTATGGCAGTCCTATATGTACATCATCGCCGCAAATGCTCGAAACCTTAAACAAATATATTGCTTAGTATTATTTTTAATATTTTTGATAGACAAAGAAAATACCAGTTGAAGAGGTGACTCCCCTGATTATAAGAGAAAATTTCACAAACCGACAACGAAGAAACAAAATTACAATACGATAATTTCAATAATGTAAATATTTTATTAAATGCACAGAAGTACCCAACCAGCCGTGTTCATGTATATATGATATTTTAATTCGCATTAATACGTCTGGATTGTTTCAATACGTTTATCTACGACAGTCATCGAAAATACAACACAAAACAGGGTATACTTTGTTTCACGCCATATAATTGGATTAACTGATTAAGCCGATAATCCGCAGCTAAACAATACTAAACCGCCCGAAGTTGATGAAATATAAAATATATTGAACCAGTCCTTAATTTATTATTAAGTTGGTAGTTTTTTGGCAAACTTCAGTGTTATAATTTTTGATAGAAGCGTTATCAATTAATATGTCAGTACAATTGTTGATATACATGAAAAAAAAATCTATATCATTTATAATAATGTCGTCAGTGTACTATAATTGAAAAATGACAATTTAATATATATTGTGGGATTAAGAAGCTGTGTTCATTTGTGTGCGTGTTTATTTTTTAGTTAAAACAGGTAAAGTGTCAATTTAAATTATATTTTGTCAAATTAATTTCTTTAACGAATTAACTCGAATTTATATCCTCAAGTGTTCTAATTTAAAAAATGACTGACAAATAACATAAGCGTGTGCCTTTACCTCAAATTGTTAAACATCAGGTGTAGCGAGAGGTGAAAATTATAACTGTTCCTGTCTTACCCAAAGTATGTTCAATTACTAAATGCGTATTTACTTAAGATTGTTAATTTGTTGTACTTAGGATGCATAAAGATGTGGAAAATAGCATATAAATACAAAACTATCATATCAGTAACACTTATTTTCACATGAATAAACTAATGATTCTCATTGGTTCAGTGTAATTGTTCTTTATAAATTAACCCTCCGAATAAAATTGGCATATTGGTTAACATAATTTTAAATACCATAATTTTTGTTTCAGTCTAGCCCAAACATCAATACAATATGACAATATGACCAGATTTTATTCGGATGCCTCGGTTTCATAATTTGTATTAACTTCGCTGCTAATGAATTGTCCCCAATTCAATCCCTGCTAGTGGATGGCTCCAAGGTCCGTTCTATTTGATTGTCCCAAATTTAAATCAGGGACAGTGTCATTAGTGATGTGATCGCAAGTTCAGCTGGCCTCAGTTACTCATACTTAAATTTTAAAGCCCTACGATGCCATCAATCGCAAATTTAGTAAAAGTATCTCTTTTTTTGCCCTATGGTTCCAGCTGGGAAAATGATTTGCTTTGAATTAAAAACGGTTCCATCGTTTAAAGCTTTTGGGCTTCAAATTGTTGAAATTGCGCAGTCTAAACTAGCTACCCGCTGGTGTTCATAAATTATCATTTCTTCATTAAAACCATAATATGTATCAGAGACGAATAAATTTAATAAATGTTCCGTTCATTACAAGGGGCAACATGAGTTTATAACGTTGGCATAATGGTTTGGAGGACGATAGATGCTTATTACCTATAAAATAGCTTTGAATGTGATATTACATGATTCATAAATGTAGCAAAATGTAAACAAAGTAGTATTTTACTTCCATACAAAATACTGAATCACTACAATTGTACTAATTGCCGAAAAAGCAAAAGAAGCAAACTATAGTTCGGGTAATAGCCCTCAACGGGCTACTTTTCTAAACTATCACTGTACACCAAAACTAATGAGCCTTTGAGGGATGAAAATAATACCATTTCTCGGATATACTGGACCTTTACCTTACCTGTAAATGCTTTGGACCCTATATGCGAGAGCACAGGAATGAATGTTGGAATTTTCTCATCTACGGAGATGAAAATTAGTAATAAGATTAAACATTATAATTTGAAGAGATAAAAGGAATAAAATGTTATAATACATGTATTATAATACTTTAATCTGTATTTTGTATTTTTCAGTTGAAATGTCGGATTCTTCAACATAGTTAATCATCTATGAGGGTCGAAAGTGAACTTATCAGAATGACCACGGCTATTGATGGGCTCAGAGTTAAGGGGGAGGCTGCCCCGAAAAGTTTCAGTGGTGTAGCTCCCCTTAGCGCAACCGTACGCGTAAATAAACCAGGAAACCCAATAACATCGATGGACAAGTCGTATCAGTTTGTATTAAATAGTACTCCCGGTACTGAAGAGCTAACTATAACTAGTCTAAACGGTCCGTCAGTTCCGGTTAGAAAAATGGAGCATTTGAGTAGAGTTCGTACAGCTAATTTTGGGATAACGACAATGGATTCGCCATTCACGATTAACGGAGAGCAAGAACCAGCCCTTGTAATCGAGAAACCACATTTCGTTCTTTGTGGACTTCCAGTTGGCTCAAAGGAAATAGATCCTCATCTTTATGTAAATGAACAACGGGTCGGTAGTTTTAAAACGTCCGCTAAAGCTTTATATCAAGCCAGACGTGGACTAAGACCTAGTAAAGCTTTAACTGAACAGGTTTCGTTTCTTCCCGATAAAGACATTATAAATTACAATACGAACTTGCCGGAAACCTTCGAAGAAACGGGTAAAAAGTCCGTTCCGCCAATCCCTCCAACGACGCCTGTAAATTATGCTCACCATTTAGCTAGTCTTAAACCTAAAACTGCAATTGGAATTCGGACTGAGGACGGTGTAGGTAAATTCCATGGTTCGATACCAAGCACTGAGGCAGAAAAATATCAACATAGTGATTTGCTCATAAGAAATAGAAAGGTGTTACTTCATCGACGAGATGAAACAAATGATAGTGGGGAGCATTTACCAAGGGAACATTCTAGTGTCTCAACCAGGTCTGTGAAATCTATTGAAACCGTGACGGATTCTGTTGTCACAAACAGTCTTACCGTGACTACAGGCAAGGGATCAAAAATAGTGTCGAGGGCGGTAAGTAAAAGTGCTAATAAAGTGAATTACAATAACCCGTATAGAAATACAAAATTTAGAGAACGAATGGCACTTAGTGGAAATAGAAGGTTAGAATTTAACAATATCGATAGTTATTTTCAATACCAAAAGCAACAACACCATAACGGGAAACACTTCATGACACCGAGGGCTGTTTTAAAGATACCGAAGCCATGCTCGGATACATTCTTGCTACAAATGATGTATGACATGAACCGACCATTAGCAAAGCGTCGAAGTCAGCATTCCGCAATCTATTCTGATATTGGATTGACGAAAGACTTAGAAGAATTTGTACAAAGCAGGACATCAAGCTCTTTGAGCAAAACACAAACTAATATCGACAGATATTTAGGAAAGAGAACTCCAAAAAGTGCAAAAAGTGTACGAAGTGCTAAGAGTCGAAAAAGCACAAGAAGCGCTAAGAGCGCCTTGGACGCCGACGCTATTGAAGAGGAAGGTGATTGGGAGGAAGAAAACATACATGTTAATGGGGACTAGACCATAGATGTGGATAGAAAACTATTTGAGATAATACATAAAATCTTGAAAAGAATCTACGGTTGAAATGGCTTTCGGTTTTTCTGACACTGGCTACGGAATTGGTTTTGGTTAAAAGGGATATTTTAAATTTGATGATAGATATTCATTATAATGTAGCATTCATGGAAAAGAAAAATTAATCTGTGTTTAGAAAAAAATGAAAAATGTTATAGGGACAAAACAGGATTATCACAGGCAGATATTTGTTTATATACATACAATTCTAAACATATATTTCTTATACTATGAATATGTGCTAGGATTTTTGCTCATTTATTTGTGTTGACGTTTCATTTTGAAGTCATTTTAAGATTCCAATTCACATCAATAATTTCAACTACACAGAAACTTTGTTAATTCACATCAAAAGGTAACTAGATATTTGCATGGCGATGCATAAGAGTGTCAAAACATGTTTTCGTTAGTTCTTTAAGTAGCACTGCTGGGTTCTTATGAACTATTGCATTAATTTAAACTTTATCTTTCAAGTACTGTTTTTGGGGGTTTTTTCTTAATGATCTTTCTTTTATTATTAGTGTAAAGTTATGTATGGTAGTTTGATGGATATCTCGTACAAAAAAAATTGTCAATCAGATGTGGATTTATAGAACTTTATAATAAACGTTTCTTTAAAAAAATCTTAGAAAAAAAGAAAAGTTAAGAAAAAGAAAATAATATGGAAGTAACGAAGACTATGGTCTATTAAAATAATAAAGATATAAAGTTGCAATAACTCAGGTGTTTTAATAAGATTTATAGACCGCATGCATGTATTCCTGACGTTCTTTATTATGTATTACGTGCCTTCTTTAGTGTAGCGATGATGTATATCTATACATTGTTTGACATAAAAATTAACAAATATGTATTTATAAAACATTTAAGTGGGTAATATTAAACTACACCATATGTTGAAAATCTAGTAAAGTCCTTCACCGAGACCTCACATCACACGCATTGTTTCAGGAAACATTCGCAGATTTCATATTATATAAATTAAGAATATTATGGGAATACCAATGCCAATACCTCGAATATACTCTAGACCACTTATGCACGAAAAGTTTAGGAATATAACGATTGTTCACGAACTAATGATTTAATTATTGCTTTAAAATTAATCTAATCAATGTCTGAAACAGAATGTTTATAGAAAATATTATATTGTTTCATGTTGTACAAAATTTTATTTTATTAATAAGATAATTATTTGCCGCTGATTTCATCATCAGATAACATGTTTAAGAAAAAGTCCGTGATATTTGTTTAGCAAGTCAAGATAATAGTTTTATCCTTTATAACTTTTATACAATGTTGTTATGGTACATTTTTCATATTTTACTGTTTTCATATATAATTGTATCACAAGATTAAATGACACTTAAACTGACATTTCAGATCTGTAATGTTAGGGTAATAAGCTGCATACCTATTAGTAGCATTTTGTTCATAAAATGTACAAAATTCTGAACACACATGACAGTTTTAAAATGTCGCTATTGTCTCCCCGACATAAAGGGAGACAAATGTCATTTGATTGCTGTTTCTTATTGAGACGAACTTACACGTGATCATTTGATCTTAACTCGCTTAAACAGTATAAATATATTTAGATAATCATAATAATGATATACCTTTCTTGTCATCTGATCTCGTAATTTTCATCCCATAACATTTCAGGTATGCAAGAATGAATTGCAATGAGATACTTAATACAAAGCGTATTATTTTTGTCATGAAATTGATTGTTTTAACAGTCACCTGTACTAAGAATGTATCAGCCAATTCAATAAAAAATATATTAATTGTTGTTCAAAAATGTTCTTTCTTTTGTGGTATATTTTCATAATTCCAAGCCTGCCAAATTAGCCGAGACGTCAGACATATGGATTTCAGATTGAGTCGCAGGTTCAGTCTGTAAGTGGCGCATCATGTGTTTTGTGCTGGAATACTTGGTTGAAGACATGCAGATTATCTACATGTGTCCTCTATCGTCGAGTCATGGTCATCAAACTTTGGAAACACCCTGCATGTAAATTTGGGCATAATTCAGACCCACTACACACTGGTACACATTGATTATAGTAGTAACTGTGACATTGTTTCAACCTGGCCCTAAGCTCAGTCAGATATATAAGCAACATCGGCTACCCACGGTATATTTTCCGTACATATTACATTGTACAGGATCATATACGTAAACTGTGGATAACCGACGATGATAAATCTGAATAAGTAACTTTTATTGCATTTTTATATCTGACACTGATATAGTTCTACTTTATAAATAATAAACCTTGGTTTACACTTTTCAATAAAGCTTACATCAGCACTTTCCCATTACAGAAAAATCTGTAAGACCTCTTTGACAAATCAATTCTTTGCAATAAAGAAAGTGATAAAATACAGAAAAAAAGAACAAGAAGATTATTTTAACCCGTTTATTCTTCATCATCATTAAAAAACTTGTAATCTTAACACTTCAATAAAAAGATATCAACTTTAGATGGAACAAATGATTATATAGGAATAAAACATTATTTAAGACTTCAAACGCCATGCTATCCATTTTCATGTGCATGATCTATTTCTTTGCACAGTCGATCATCACTTTGACCCCTTGACCCGATTTGGACATCTCAAACGCTTGCATTGTTTCCTCTAATGTGTATCTATGGGTAACTAAGGGAGCCACGTTGATTTTCCCGCAAGATATCATATCTATTGCCGTTTGCCATCTGTAGAATATGTAACAAATTTCAAAAGGCCTGCTGTTTAAAGAATTCAGATTTTTCATTGTTTATATATGGTTTCAAACCTGGTCTAATTCAATTCATTGACATTTAATGTTTTAAACATAGTTGCATCTAACTATTTGTTATATATTTATAACATTGCTTGCAGTGATGAAGCCTGCTATAGATTCTAAATAATCTAAACAAGCAATTATCATAGTATTGCAAGCAATCCATTAGTCCCCTACCGGTTAGAACCCCAGCAACATTCTGATGGGTCATTGGCCATTTAATTTTACCAGTGAATGAATGACATGAATGAACTTAAATCTTTTGGGTTCTAAGTTTGTCTATATCATAGTAATGTGTTAAGTTTCCCTGCCTAGTAAGGAAATTATGGTTATACAACAGATAATCAAAAGGTCCAATTTTCTCAGGATGAATAAGTATAACTAATGTTTCAACTTTTCTCTATTTTAAGTCAATTTGTTGGAAAAAATCTTGAAAAGTGATCTCAGGAAACAATTTTTATGAACAAACAGGTCGACAGACTGAAAGAGACTCTTAAGTTATTTTTTAAACAGCCCTGTTACCAAAATATAACATATTTTAATACAAAATTCTTAAAGAGGAGATAACTCTTGAAAAAAACGATGCCAGATTTATGAACATTGATGTGAGTTTTACTTTAAGTTTAAAGATACCATTTATAGTCACAAAGAAGATTAGTAAAAAAATAACAATTTTCAAATATAGCATTAACTATAATGTATAGTAAGTAACAAAAATGAAAATTAAAAACAAAAATAAAATATAATGTAGGTGTTGATAATGAATGTTACTTTTAAATTTGAAGAAAGTCCATAAAGAAATAAGAAAGATAAAGAATGAATAAGAAAAAATCAAAGTTTAAGGAGGAGATAATTCTGAAATTATGGATCTACATTTATAAACCTTGTCATATTATTATGATGTGGGATTTTAAAGTAAATCATATCAGGAGTGAAGAAGTTTGAGTAAAAAATACCAATTTCTCGAAAAAAATCTAAGTTCTAAGGGGGACATAATTCTAGAAATAGTCTTGCTAGAGTATTTAACCTTCTTACAAATGTTGAGTGATAATAAGAAACATATATATGAAGTTTGAAGTAGATACATTTAGAAATAAAGAAGTTATTTAAAAAAGACAAAATTTTTTTTCATAAAAATTCTAAGTTCAAGGGAGGTAATTCTGATAATGTTTGTGCTAGAGTTGTAAAAAGTTTAAAGTTTGAAGTAAACACCTTAAGAAATAAAGAACTTATAGTGAAAAAGCGTAAAAATTCAAATCAGAAATCTTGAAATTCAGTTTATTTGTTGCCATAGCAACAAGAATTTTCAACATAGGAAAAAAAGCATAATTTCCAGACTGTCATCTACCCATATTTTAAGTTTCATAAAAATATTTTCAGTACTTTTTGAGTTATTTATGTGTAAAATTTGCCATATTTTCAGTCTATTTGTTGCCATAGCAACCAGAATTTTCAACATAGGAAGAAAAGAAAAAGACGTGCATAATCTCCATACTGCCATTTATCCATATATCAAGTTTCATAAAAATATTTTCAGTCCTTTTTGCGTTATCGCGGGATCCAGTTTTGTTGATGGACGGACTGACAGACAGACAGACAGACGGACGGAGGGTAAACATAAAGTCCCCTCCGGTTAAACCGGTAGGCAACTAATAAAGCTGAAAGAAAAGATACAGAAAGTAAAAATTGTCTCACTTTGGATGACATCAACTTTTAGAAACTATGTTTACCAATTACTCTTTTTTTTTGGATTCATATATATATTCTATATGTACTCACGTGTTGATATATCTAAAAGAGCCGACTATCTCGATTTCCTTAGCAACCAAACTTACAACCGGAAACTCAACCTTGTTTGGTCCGTGTCCAACAATTGTGAAAACTCCACCTGGTTTAGTTGCCTGGAATCAACAAATAAAGATAATATAGTCAGAAGCGAAATTATACTTTTAAATGTCTAAACAAAAAAAACATAGTTTTGCTTTATCGAATTTCTTTACATTTAACATTTAGTTTGAACCTCAAAAAGAAGGCAATATCAAAATATTTCTTTGTTAAAGAGCCATACTGTGTGAAAGCATTCTTTTAAACAATAAGGCATACAAATAAAATATTTGTAAATGAAATTGCGCATCAAAATGGAATAACCGATTCATTTATTTTATATTGTCTCAATTAACTTTGTAGTTCTTGTAGTTTATCAACGACATATTCTTACAAAGACGCCAAGGTTAACAGAAAACTGGGCTCCACTGCATTCAATAGTTCTGTCAGGAGCGCCACCTAGTGTTTCCGCTACTTTCTTGGCAACTTCCTCTTCGCTGGATCCACGCTCTATCAATACAGTATGTGTAGCGCCGACCTCCTTTGCAAATTCAAGACGTTTTGGGTCTATGTCTATAAAATCAAAAATATTTATATACTAGTACTCATTTAGAAGATCTTTCGGGATTTATTTTAGAACTTGCTCAAATCATTAGCTCATTAACTGTTAGCGAACGACATCGGAGAACAAATGAATGCTCATGAACAGGGGCACATCCTAAAAACTTTCTTGTAAAACAACACAATCTTTCTTTCATGGACGGCTCAGGTTAGAAGTAATACATACGTATTTATAAATGTTATTACATTCAACAGGGAGAAACATCTCTTTAAAACTTACGTAGCTTTCCGAACTGTTCTATATTATTTCGACACAGACTGACATCTACAATCGTCGTAAAACGGAATTCTATAACTGTATCAAAACCGCGATAATACCTGTTACACATACTGCCGAAGCACCAAATGCCTTCGCCGACAACATTGCACACAATCCAATAGGCCCAGCTCCACAAACTAACACTCTGTGACCCATAGCAAGTCGGGCTCGTCGGCATGCATGAAGACCCACGGACAATGGTTCGATAAGGGCCCCTTCCTCAAAGCTCACGTTATCGGGTAATCTGAAAGTAATGTAGATAATTGTTAGTGTGTATGGCGAACCATAATCGCAGTGTCCATCAGATTTAAGTACTAGGGTTGGGATTTGAATTTTATATAAATGCAACGTGAATGATAGTATAACAAGTAAAATGTCATCAAGACTTTAACTATAGAATTACATTTGTACTGCCTATAGCACAGCTGTACCGAAAAAAATCTTTTCTACTCACGTACTTAAGATACAAAAAAGTTAGAATTATCTTTTCACACATCTGATCACCCATCTGTAATCCAAGACACTAGTTGTGTGCTATTAAACTATTGTATTACTATTTCACATGAATTCTTGAATGGTATTTTTTCGATATTTTATTGAATATTCGGCTTCATTATTTTTCTTCTAAAACACGGTAGTTTTTTTTTCGGATACTATGTAATACTCTGGCTTTTGATGATAGTATTGGTCCGTAATCTGTACTTCTCTTTTTTAGACAACTGTTCAGATGGTTGTTAGCCCTTTAAAGCCTCATATTTTCCGACATAACGTGTGAATGACCAAAATACAAAATTGATGGTTATAATATGCAGCGAATTAGGCATTTCTTCAATCGTTTCTGTTTAACTCACTATATCTTTCAATCGTAACTTTTCCTAGCCTATTAAATGTATCGTATGTATGCATAGTAACACTTATTGGTGATTTTAACCTTACTTGAATACAAAATCTGCTCCATGCACGTGATATCTTGCTAGTGCTCCACTGTCAGGAGGCGTGGCTAAGAAGAACACATTCGGACAGAGGTTATACCGCCCACTTTTGCATTGTTCACATGTGCGACACACCCCATGTGGCTCTATAGCAACTCGATCTCCTGAAATAATAAGCACTTCATCTTAAGAAATTAAAGAGAATCGTTCTACAGTTGGTACATTTTAGTACGTATTTCATATATTGATAAAAAAACCATTAGAAATGTATCATCTGAATATCTTTTAAAAAGTTTTTTTTATGAAAAAAAAATGCTGTAAACGATTAAGGATGGACATCTATATCATGAATACTTTATATTTTGTTCCAGAAAAAAATATTATCTGCAATATAAAGATATCTCATATCAGTTCATGTATGTAAAACACCTACATCTGTACTATAACTTTCTACGTGGTTTGTTGTCACGCACGAAACTTAAGTCTACATACGTGATTTTCATGGTATTTCAGACCTTCTATATTATGTACCAATTCACTTTAAAAAGGTTTTAAAACAGCGATTAACACGATGAAGACGATTATCCTTTAAAGCTATAATTTGATACAAATGCATTAGAATAATGTATATTTCAAAGTATTTTCTAGGTTACAGTACATTTTCTATTGTGGCATTTTTCTCGCTTCCGACAAATAAGTTATACCATTTAAGCTTTTTAATTGAGGCTAGATTTATAGTTTCAATGGTTCATATACATGTATAATTTATATATTTAAACATGGTCTTTGAAATAATCTAAAGTTGTATTTTATCTAGCTTTCATTTAGTTTGTTCTGAAATATTCGTAGTACTTCTCCGCATATTGTATCGGCTCGTATGTATGGCTGCCTCATACGGAAGTGTTCAACATCCCTAATGTGATCGTGCTTAAAAACACCTACCTTAATCCTTAGGCTATAAAAAGAGGCCTTTTAACTTTGAAAAGATTATTAAACATTAAACATAAAACAAGTAACCTTTATTATTTCATTATATACCATTATGTAAAGAAACAATATTGTTAAATGTCGTCTTCTCTCGGCAACCATTAAAAGTCAATAGAATAAAATATTATGTGTTTATTTGTTTTATTGGGATTTACGTCACACCAACACAGTATAATTATGTCATATGGCGACGTTCCAGTTTAACTGGTGAAAGAAGACCTCAGGTGCATTATTTCAGGCACGAACGGGTACCAGAGAAGAACCACCGACGTTTCGTAAGCTAGCTGGATAGCTTCCTCACATGAAAGAATTCAAAGTCCCTGTCGGGAACCCACAGCGGTGAGGGGCAAGTGGTTTGAAGTCAACGACCATAACCACTCGGCCACGGACGACCCCATATATAATATGAGTAGTGAAATATAATATAAAATAGCATACCAACTTTAAGATGAGATACACCTTCTCCTACTTTGGTTACTACTGCACTGCACTCATGCCCTAGAAGCATGGGTCCTGTCACAATGAAACGGTCACCAATACGGCCGTGCTGCCAGTAGTGTACGTCAGATCCACAAATTCCAACTTTCTGCATACATAACTGTACTTCTACAATTATATGATATGATTTAAAGCTGCACACATCCAGATGACCCAAAATAATTCAAGAAAATCAAATCAATATTAAGAAAAAATGTACTAAAATTTTAAGAAAGGTAAAAACATTCAAGATCCAGGTTATATTTAAAATGTTATGTGCAGTTTAAGACTGATTTTCAGTAATTTATCACCTATTTCTACTGCGTTACTAACGCAGTAAGGACTATTTTTGCATATGTTGACCTTTTTTGGTATTTTTCATGGATTATAAGTGCTGATTGCAATGTATAAATTACTTTTTTGTTCACCTAACAATATTTAATTTTAAATACATTTCAAAAATTTTCATGAAAATTAACATGAATCTGGAGGCGTGCTGCTTTAAAGTGGCATTATGACCATCCAAGTGTAAATATTCAGTGAACAGGTAAATATAAAAATAACTACTTTTCGCTATCATTTTGTTCAATTTTATATAACCAATAATTCATTTGAGCCGCGCCATGACAAAACCAACATAGTGAGTTTGCGACCAGCATGGATCCAGACCAGCCTGCGCATCCGCACAGTCTGATCAGGATCCATGCTGTTCGCTATCAGTTTCTCTACTTGTAATAGGGTTGGTAAGCGAACAGCATGGATCCTGATCAGACTGCGTAGATGCGCAGGCTCGTCTGGATCCATGCTGGTCGCAAACTCACTATGTTGGTTTTGTCGTGACGCGGCTCATTTGACCAATGGAAATTTCAATAGATATCGTTCAGAATGTATCGCTCAATTCACTAAAAAAGAGTGGGCAGTCTTTTATAGTTTAGGTATACATGTAGTTTCTATATTGTATCATAAACAAATTTTATTATCAAGTATTGGTCAATTACCATAAAAATTGACAATCTTTTAAAATATTTCACAAATTCAACTCAATTTGGCATCGAAAAATGAGCATAATGCCACTTTTGTTAAAATTTTAGCTACTTTATCCACCATATCATCAATTAAGATCATCACGACAAGTGGTTTATTGTATCAAAACGTATTATCATAATATGTAACAAATTGATTGAAAATTCCAGAAGCTAATTATACGTGGCTTAGGTAGTTTCAGTCATTGTAACCTTTGACACTGAATTCAAACATCAATATGATATATACGCAGATATAATATTTTGGTACCCTTCTCTAAATAAGATGGTGTTCACGCATCCAGATTCGTCATAAGTTTCATGAACATTTTAAAAATGTATCTAAAAGTAAAATATTGTGAAATAAACAAAGAAAGTAATTGACACATTGCGTATTACCCAAAAGAGGTCAAAATATGCAAAAATAGCCCGTACTGCGTTAGTTAGGCAGTAGAAATATGGTGATAAATACTGCAGAAAAAAGTCATTAATTGCACATAAGATATAAATTATCACTTGAATCTTTAATCTGTTTACTTTTCTTAAAATTTTAAAACAGGTTTTTCAAGTTTAATATTATTGAAATATTTTGGCTCATCTGGAGCCATGCAGCTTTAATGTTCAATCTGCACAAGTACAATCGAATCTAATGTTCGTTAAGTATTGTCCATGTTCATATTTTTAATAATAAGCTGAGTTCAGTCATTCACTATTCAATGCTGATTTTATATTTTCTTGAAATTCACTACAGCGGCCAAAAATAATTCAAACATGCATTGCCAATTTACGAAATTAAGCATGCCCTATAACTCAAAATCCGACCAAGTGTACTTACCTCCCTTTGCTGGCTCTGGTATCGGCCTCTCTTCCTAAAAAAGCAAAGAGTATTGCATTTAATTTCGTTATATTGTGTATGATCTATAGACACTCCATGTACAATTAGTAACTTGAATGTAATACACTGAGATCTCGACATGTACACATGTACAATATGTGTGCTAAAAATAACATCAAAATAAATATTAGATAAACTTACCAAGCGGAGATCAAGCTTTTTGTAAAGTATTGCAGATAAATTTACATCCGTCATAATGAAATTTTATTCGTTTGCGCTTAACTTATGCTTGAATTCTTGCTTAAATGTATCTGTATCACGAAAAATACGCGTCTAGTTTACTTAATCAGATGCTCTCATGTTGTCTGCAGTTTAACTTAAAAGTTTACAAACAAATATGCTACATATACGATGGACAGGAGTATAGATAAAGGGATATGAAAACTGATTAAATAGCATAGTGGTTCGGCAAACTAGGTCATTTTGCGTTCATTCGCCAAACTCATATACACCATGTTAAATTTGTGCAAATTGTTCACAAGAGATTTCCGTGCAGTCGGTGCAATATATAACGTGTTTAGGATAGTACACACACAATATATATATATATATATATATATATATTATATATATATATATATATATATATATATATATATATATATATATATATATATATTATATATATATATATATATATATATATATATATATATATATATATATAGCAAAAAACAAAATCAAGAACGACGTTTTAGAATTCATGAAAATCCACTAAACTATGAATTAACTCATTCCCAAAAGTGACATCAAATGCCTTCCCAAGGGTACAAAGTGAGGGAACAGATAAAAGACAAAATAAGTTCATAAATAAGTTTATAATCTGTTTCAATATGTTATAATTTGCTTTGCATGAATGATAAATAACTAGTTAACATGGGTTACATATAGGCCTATCCGTCAGAATCAGGTATATATACGTACCTGGTCAGAATTAACTTGTAACGTTCAAATTATAGAAAGAGTGGACAGTCTTTTTATAATTTAGGCATATTATTATTTTAATATCAATTATTGGTCAATGACCATTATAACAGTTACTCTTTTGAAATGTATATATATAATGAAATCATGGAAATATTCCGCATAATGTCACATGATAACCAAACAATGTCAGCTCTAATTGAGAAAAATGAATTATATTATTTCGGTATGGTCAATATCTTCACCTTTTACGGTATTCTGGCCTAAAACAAAGGCATCCCAGAGTTGGCTTTAGTCATACATGTTAGGACTTAGATAACTAAATGTTCAAAATTAAGGTTCGTAACAATAAAGGCTATTATTATTGACTTATACTGGTGATTCACATTTAACCTTCAAAATAATGTATTACAGTTATAAATATATATCAGTAATAAGCTGTTGTCTGTTGGTAAAGACTACTAAGATGTTTGAAATAAAAAGACAATCAATTTGCTTGGGTCGAAATCTATTGGGTTCGAAAGTCGTGTTTCTTAATTTAGTGGTGTACAACCACTTGAAGCGGGATTTCCAAAACAACAGTTTGGAGGGAAGCAGTTTTATTTTATGGCCCTTACTTGTAAAGAATCCAACAGAACATAGAAGTAATGTCCAAAAAGCAGAAATTAATAAAAAGCGCTGGTATGTGTTAACTTCAGTAATTCTATTGATTACTGTATATAAAACGGCTGCAGTATTTCCTTGTTTGTCATCGGATTTCGCGATTGTGGTTAATGATATTTCTTTATATTGTTGCCAGTTAGGGTTTGAACTCTAAAGTACACCTCTTGATTACAAAGTGGACACTGAACTACATTTCTAAAGGGTTAACACAATAGCAAGGCTGTTGAAAGTGGATGTAGGGGTAAAATTAACAAGGAGTATTTTGCATTGTTTATTTTTTGTAAACAAACTGACTGTTTCTAGCCAAGAAAAAGACAGAAGTGACCTGTCAGGGATCGAAATTATTTTTTCAGAGCCACTTGTCCGCTTTCCCCAACCAAACTAGCCTCTTTTCCCAAAGTATGCCAAAATCACGCTCATTTTCCCCAAGAAAAAGGCTGAGGCCCCTTCCCAAAAATGGTGTTTTGGCCCTGGACTGGAACCCAGGCTAATAAGATATGTACAGAGACATAGATAACAAATGTGATCTATGTCTCTGATATGTAGTACTATGATTAGCTGTTTTAAACCTATAAATTATCTTATGATTTTATTTTTCATACTATTTTGCATATTCACATGACAAGGGCATTGTTACATCTAAAGAATGATTTAAAAAATAATATAATTTTGAATCAGGGGTTTTTTTTAGGAAAAGGGGAAGACGCTGGACGCTGGTAGGGAGGGGAAAAAATATACGAAAAAAGTCAATTTGGGGAAACTTTATTATGACGTTATTTATACTATATACTTAACTACATAGTAGAGAGTTACAACTATATCTTTTTCCCCTTAAAAACTTTATCATCATGCAAAATATTCTTTGCAGTATAACATATTTTCTTAATATGTATGGTGGTGAATGGTTTTTATACTAATATTTTTATATGAAAGTTAATACAGTATAGGTATAATAGTGTATTTGTGACACACTTAAGCTCCATATAAGTCATTTTCATAATAAGAAGTACAAAATATATTACTTTACTAAAAATAACCAAGAAAATGACAATATTTTGATAGCAACTGATTTCCAGAAATAGTACCGTTCAGTACGGGATATAGCCAAGAAAAAAAATGGCTGCCTCCATGTTGAGACAGTACTTGCAGTTTCTGCAATGTTTTTGGTTATTTTGGACAACAATTGGTGGTTTATCCTGCATAAAATGAAGAAAAATAATATTTTAAACCATGTAATTATTAAATCTGATCCAGTTTAAAGGAAAATAGAATTTTTTGGGGGAAAAAACTTGGCTATTTACCGAGGGGAAGACGCCGACTATCGGTGTCAATTTGTTAGTAAAAAAAACCCCTGTGAATATATATCAATTAATGGTTAACTTGAAGGTTTAGTGATTTTTTTTATCTTTCTTCTTCAGAAACAGGAAAGGTAAAGCAGCATGGAGGAGAGTTGAACAAAAAACAGGTATATTCTCTTGTATTTGTGTTATCTTTTTTGGAATAATGTTAAGTTCACTTATGACTTAGTTATATAATTGTATATTATAGCCACTTTTAAAGGAAAGATTTATTTCAAAATAAAGTGATCATAAACATTGGAATTCACTTGAAACTTAATACATATCTTTAAAATCGTTATTGAAGGTTTAAAACAAATACATTATTAACATATCTTTATTCATAAAAACACATAATTTTCAAACATTCAATGAAAGCAGCTGTCTCTGATCTAACACAAACAAATAAAGTTTAACTTTATCTCACCAAATCTCTAAAGTGTAATAATTTTTCACAGTTATTTTGCAATGCATGTTATTGTATTTCAGAGTCCTAAATTAGCAGCTGAAATGGAGTCTGTCCGTATAACAAGATCCTCTCCACAGGTAGCAGCCACCACACCGTCATCATTGTACGATTTTATGGGAGAATCGCCTCTAAGCGACAGCAGTAAAAACAACAGTAAGAAGCAAGTTGTGTCTAAATCTGACGAGAAAAAAAAGGTAAAGAAAACAACTGGTAAAGGGAAAAGTACAAAAACAAAGCAGGTGAGCAGTGACAAAATTAAATTGAAAGCTGGCAGTACGAAAACAGCAGATGCTGTTTCCAAAGCAACGGTGACACCTAAAGGAAGATCTTCAAAAGTTATTATCTCAATACAAAATGCAAATGTTGAGCAACAGAAAGAAACAAAGCAGGGAAATAGTCGATTCAGGGCATTGAAGCCCATTCCTCAACCAAATTTGGATGATATCTCACCAATTATACGCGATAGAAAATCAAAAACGCCAACGCGAATGAAAAGATCCAGTGACTCTAAAACAGTTGAAAATGACTCTGTTGAAAGAAAGAAACTTAGATCCTCCACTAATGGCACTGAAAGTAAGTTTTCTGGAAGTGTTTCATATATGGAGGCAGAAGAGAGCAGTTCTTCTAACGATAGTGCAATCTTTGTGTCCCCCAGACAGACCATGCCTAGATTTAATGCGGCTAAAACTTCAACCCCAGCTGAGGTTTCTGGTAAAAGTAAAAAATTGGCAACGAAAAAGGTCTCTAAACATGCAGCAAAAAATACATCAACACCTAACGAGTTTAAGCCGAAGAAAAATTTCACGGGACTAAAAGAGAACATTGCAAAGCTGTCGCCTGTTCAACGGTTAGATACGCCAACATCTGATTATGGTTCCATGGAAATAATCCCTACACCCAGCCCTAAAAAAGCAAATAGAAGGAAAAGAGAAAGCTCCCCAGCATTTACTTTGGATGAAGATGATTCAGGTATTTTGTTGAATTGTAACTCTACTTCCCAGCAGGGCTTTTTTACCTTCTATAATGGGGCCTATAAAAGGCCCCTTCACAATCCAAAATTTCACTTATTTTCACAAAACAGAGGGAAAAAATTCACAATTCTTTGCAGATTTTGCAAATTATCATACTTTGATTTTAGTTACTAAATTGTTTTTGTTTTACTTTATAAATACAATAGGATATGGATAAATGTGTAGAAACTCAGTTTTGACCAATTTGAATCAGTGAGTTAAAATATTTAAAGCAATTTTACCTTTAATTTGTTCAAAAATTACTTTCACAATTGTCCTATTTACCGTGCAATTTTTTCATAAAATGACAAGGCCCAGGCCCCTTCACAATTTCTGTAAGAAAAGCCCTGCCCAGGGCATATACTTCAATTGAAATATTGTACATTGTAACTTAAAGGCATCTCAGTTAAAAGGGAAATCTTGTTCACATGTATGTCATTCAAACTAAAATATAAAGTTAGAAATTAGTTAGTTTTGTATTAAAAAGATAATTTCAAATTTAAAATATATTTTTCTTCTCGTAGCATATTTCTAATGAATTTTGCAGATTTTGGCATTTATATGTGACTAGTTTTGTGGTTTAATAACATTGGATTCATTTGCTTTCTTTGATTTATTTTTACCAACTTCAGTTTCTATAATGACATAATTATGTTTTTCAGGTGAAAATATCAACCTTAATAAATCAGTCGACAAATCCTATAAAAGATCCAAGAAGAAGTTTGAAACTGGTTATGGCAGGTTATCTGTAAGTTTGTTTGATTAACTTCTTTCTAATAATTTATGTTTTACAACTTCACAGGTTCCGAAACCTGAACTGTTAGGGCTATTACCCTCAAAAAAATCTATTTTGATGCATGATTCTTCACACCATTTATCCAAATAAGATACTGGCTTATTAGATTTTGCTTAAAATCATAATAAAATCTTGCAGTACAAGTGTTTGCATCATCTAAGATATGATCAGTAAATTATTGAATATACATTGTAGTAAGGAAATACACCTCTTAAAATATTCTTTGAAAACTTTGAATTGGTGGTTGGACCCCTTTTATGAAGAGCCTGCATCACTTTGACACCTGAAATTCGAAAATAATGTAAATCTCTGACTGATATTTCTTAAGTTACATGTATAGTACATATTTATTTGTGGGAATCCAAAAATGTATAATAAAAAAAAGTTAACTTGTATGACATGTTTGATCAATTTCAGTATGACAAGTGAGGGAAAATCATATATACATGTATATAAAATCTATATTGTAGCTTCTCTCTTTTGTCCAGGGTGTTTGTCACCTGCCTGGTAGAAATTTGCTTTCATGTAGAAAAGAATTCAAAGTCAAATTACTACAAAATGAACAATTGAAGTACATCATATCAAGAGCTGGTTTATGTGACAGTGTAAGAAGACTGTATTGGCTGAAAGTCCAGATATATGTGTTTTTATTGCTTTCTTATGGTGTGATGTAATAGTTTTCATGTGGTGTGACATTATTTGTCCTCACAGTCACAACTTGGGACATTAATTACTGGAGTACACATTATGTATGCAGCTGAAAACTGGGGCAGTCCTTTTCCATGTAGCTTATGTATGCCAATAATAGATGTTAACTAAGTTTTGATGTCAATTGATCATTATATTATCAGCACAGTAATGTCCATTAGGCTGCAGTCTGATCAGGATCCATGTTCGCTTACAACTCTATAACAAGTAGAGAAACTGATAGCGAACAGCATGGATCCTGATCAGACTCCGCGGATGCGCAGGCTGGTCTGGATCCATGCTGGTAGCAAACCCTTTATGTTGGTTTTGTCATGACGCTGCTCATTAATGTTTTTCAGACTTCAAAGATTGATGAGTGGGCAGACAAAGTAAACTCTGAATTGGAGGACATTGAAAACTTTGAGCTAAGTGTGGAAGGATAAAGACTGCATTTTGTCAAAGATAGACAGTCACTAACAAATAAGCATTCTCAAGTTCAGCAATGTTCAGCAGCGGATGTATGAAGATTTCTACAATGTCAAAAATGGCAGAAACTTTTAGGGTGTGCTAATTGTACAATATACAGCATACAGAGGTTTTAATAGTGTCAACTTGTACTTGTAAAGAGTATGACATTGTATAACAGATGTTTACTGCGAGTAAACGTTGGTATTTTACAGCGTTTTGGTCATAATCAAGTTAATGTGTGTTATAATTATGAATGAATATTACATGTAGTTTGGAACTTTGGATAAATCATTTTTTTTTGTTGATATTTTTGAAGTCCTATGATTTTAATAAACTTTTATCTGTTTTATTGGCGACACAAATGAATTAACTTAAATAGGCAGATTTTTTATATGAAAGATGGTTAAAAGATATACTATGCTTTTTCCTTTTATAAGGTAAAATACTTTTATCGCAGAAATTTATTGAAATCTAGAAATACTGAATTGAATTTGTTTTAATTTGAATAAGAGAATACACAAACTATGTTTGGGCAGCTGTATTTTTTTTTTACTGGTCACATAATCGTATACAGATGATCTTTTCTTAAAACTGCCTTTTGTGTTTACCTTTAGTGTGTAGAGTCTGGGACTTTTTCTCCCAGGTAGATTTTAAATTGTAATATATTTTCTCTGTATGTACTCAAAAGTTGTTTATTTTATTTATTTAAAAAAGAGACTAATTATCGATATTTTTAAATGTCAGATTTGAGACTTGACATGAAAAAAAAATCTATATACAAAAATCAGTAGATATGAGACTCATAAATGAACTTTGTATATATGAATTCTGATATAAATATAATGTACATAAGAATGATAAAATTTGCATGATACACTTCAGAAATAAGGATCGTGATCTTTGTATTTGATATATTTAAAACATAGGTTAATGAAATGATAAACGGCAAATTTCAGCTAAAGTGTATTGTATTTCATCACCTAATACTTCATATAAATAGAGCAATAATCAAACTGTGCATATTTACTATGATCCAAATCATAATGTGTAGTAAAATATATGAGCCGCGTCACGACAAAACCAACATAATGGGTTTGCGACCAGCATGGATCCAGACCAGCCTGCGCATCCGCGCAGTCTGATCAGGATCCATGCTGTTCGCTTACATACTCTATAACAAGTAGAGAAACTGATAGCGAACAGCATGGATCCTGATCAGACTGTGCGGTTGCGCAGGCTGGTCTGGATCCATGCTGGTCGCAAACCCATTATGTTGGTTTTGTCGTGACGCGGCTCATATTCATATGAATTTCTTGTCATATGAACAAATTATGAAATGGTATGGGTTTGATTGACTTATTTATGAATATTGTGCTTAAATCCCCCCACCCACTTAAAAATTATTGCATCGACTCTTATACATGTATGTTATTGTACAATTCAATAAGTTATAATAGCCAATAGTTTTCACATTAAATCTTCATCACTACATGTATATGCGACCAGATTTACTGGATGATGTATGTCATATATATATATAAATTATTTGACAAATGTCTCGCTATTCAATAGGGGATACACTTTAATTTCACTGAATGTAATGTTCTTTGGTGTTGTGTGTGAACAGTTTAGTGTTAACTGATTTTGTTGATAAATTATTGTAAGGAGTGTTTTACAAAGGTTATATTATTAGTATTTCCCATTATTTTCTTCTTTTTATTTTAATTGTGGGTTGTTTGTTCGGTATCTAGGTGTTGTGCTGAAAGATGTTTGTATTATGAATCAAATATTCATGAAAATATTTGGCATTTTCTCAAATTATTATATTAAGGTCATTTTAACTGACAAATCTGTAGTTATTTTTTACATAGTATGACACCTTATTTTAGGGATGTCCTGAATATGTTAAAATAGTAAACTTTATTTGTTACAACTGTTCTTTATCAGTTATCACATTTTTAAAAAAACTTCTAATGACAGTAAACAATAAAGGGTCTTCACATCCCTTTAATTTTTAGCGTACCAGTGTACATGTATTATGTTTTTATATAGGGGTAAGATTTTAGGATGGAATGTTGTCCTTCTTTAAGGCCTAAAAAAAATATGTTTGTTTCGGGTAACCCGACCCTACCTATAAAAAAGCGCCGACCCTAACTATTTTTTTTCCGTTTCTGAACAAACAAAAAAATTCGTAGAGAGTTTCACAGGGCGGATAAATGTGAATTGAATGCTTGAGACGCTGTCTTAAAACTCTCAGACGATTTAGATCGGTCATTTTTAGTTATACGTGTTTGGATTGGCTCGTGCTGTATTGCGGTCCAATAAATATCACGCTATTGGAAACAAAAATTCTACATGAAGACGATATTTTTAGAAGGTAATTCCTACCGGAAGTATTCTCCGGCTTCCGTTTTACATACATTGACATAGAGCGGAACGGGGAACCACGCACGTGTTGCGGGAGAACACTTCCGATTTAGGAATTTCTTATACATGTGGAATTTTTCTTAAAATACAGGCACATAGGACTTAGTGCCACTCGTGGAGGATAAAATCATTTAAAAGTATGTAAAATCCAGTTGTTTGCATGTGTGTTCGACCCGTTTGATCTCTTTGTTGATGTAGTATTTCAAGCGTAAATACCAGGCTACAATATACATGTCATGACGGTCTCATCTTTCGGACCTGGGTGATTTCCGACTTTCTGGCTTTATTGTGGTAATTTCCGTGTAAATAAGGATCTGTTCATAGACAGTTTTGATAGAAAAATATATATTGCATTGATTCCATGCGAAAATCCGACGATATTAGAGTCTACCTGCCGGTGGAAAATTTGGACACCGAGAACAGACATACCCATAATTTTCGTACTTGGATGTTGTGAATTTTTTTTTTTTTAGTATATTGATATTTCATTGCATAAATAACAAGGTTAAACACAGACAGTAGATAGAGGCAAATGAGACCTTAGTCCCACTGAAAATCAAGTGCACTTGAGTATAAAGTATAGCCACAGGTCATATGTACATAGCTATTCTGGAGACCTGCAATGCTTTTCCAGTATATCATTCATCCTTTTTTGCATACTGAAACAAATTTTTAGCCAGACTTGGAGTCTGACTCTGTACTGTGCATCATTTTGTTTCATACCGGGACAAATGTATCCCATTTTCCATGTGTTATTGAGATCTAGTCTTTGCTTTTTTTTCAGATGGGCCATGGATACTATTAGACGATACTTTGAATGACATCTACGAAATGCCAATTCAAAAAGCTTGGCTATTGTCTTTGATATGTTGACATACATGTATCTGATAGAAAATAAACAGTATTTGATTGACAAGGGTGTCATTTTACAAATAGAAGTATTTGCACTTTTTATGTGAACCAGTGTATCAAAAGTGCAATTCAGAATTATAGATTTTGTTAAATTGTACAAAAGTGTCAAAATATAAACTTTGTAATACTGTAAGAGCTTCAAGATGTCAGCACTACAATAGTTAATTCAATGAAATGTGCAGTATTTAAAGCATGAATATCAAATAGTGAAAAACAGAAATAAGTCTAGATTTTTTAACTAAAACTTTGAAAGCCAGATCACAGCATGTCATTTTAGCTCTTTAATTGTGCTTTACTCCTACCATGCAACCAATGTAGACTCAGATCAGCAAAATTGCAACCATGCAAGCTGATGAGAATCTGCAATGTTTGCTGTTCAGGTTAGAGTCAAACTTTAAAGTAGTGCCTGTAGCAAACAAACATCAGAATTGACACATGTTTGGGTATATTGTCGTTATTCAAAATTGAAATAACATTAAATGGCATTAAAGCTATGCAGATTTTAATCAGAATTATTGATTACATGATAAAATATGATAATACAAAGTCAGGCAATGTCAGTAGTGAAGGAAAGACTGCCATGTGCAAGAAAACACTCTGAACTTACGACAGATTTTGAAAAAAAAAAATAAAAAAAAATCCCTACCTACCCTACCTAGCAATTTTGGGAAGGTTACCCTAAACAAACAATTTTTTTTTTTTGGCCTAACCAATATTTATTTTATTCATATCGTGTGATATTAAATTTCAATTCATTAAAAATGAATATAGTTGAATAAAAATGAAAGAACAATTTGTTATGACAATTATACATATATTAAAGTGTGAATTTAACTTAATTTTGTTTAAAATATTTCATGTTTAATTGTCATTTAGATTAGTTAATTTATATATAATAACACATCAATGTTCGTTTCAAATAAAAAAGGGAAACTTTTATTAAAAGTAAATTTTATTGGTCTTGTACATTTTTAAGCTTTTTATAAGACACTTTAGTGAAAGATGGGTTTTTTGAAGACTGTAGAACAGAAATTATTACAGAAAAGCAACTTTTTTCTCATAAATAATTTACACCACTTACACATTTTTGTTGTGTACCCCATATTGTATTGAAAAAAAAGGCTTTCGTGATAATAAAAGAGGTCATGTTATGGTCTGTTTTCTTGATAGCTATTAACTTTTCCACATCAATTACATCTAGGAGTGTGTTTGGATGTTGATTACATTTTTGTCATTTCAGAATTATTATTAGACAATTTTTCACTTTTCATTAATAACAGGTATTTACATATAGCCATGTAGTATTATTGACATAATTATAACTATTAAAGAAATGGAAAATGTAAATTTTGAGGTCTGTTTTTCTATGGCTACATGTTTAAGTAAATTTTTAGCTTGTTTGCGACGAAGAAATAGTCCAGCTATTATGATTGCCGTGTAGTCCTTGTTGTTGCTGTAAATTATTTTTAATGTAGCCCATTATCTATTATCAACATGAAACTTGGAATACTAGCTTATCTAGAAAAGGTGCAGTGACAGCAACTTAACCACGTAGCTGTATAAATGTGATTTCAAGCATCTTAGCCATGAAAGTGTAAAAGCAACTTAGCCACAAGAGGTGTAAAAGTAACTAAACCATTTCGCCATGCAGACGAAAATATAAGTATAAACCACTTTGCCATGGGAACATAAGTCAGTTAACCACTTAGCCATGCAGACAAAATATGTAATGTAACCACTTAGCCATGGATATGTAAAAGTAACTTGGCCATGAAGATTTTACATATTTTTTTTTTACCAAAGATTGCCCAATTACAGCAGATTTATTATGCTTACACTCCATGTCACTTAAAATAGTAAAATGAGCCTTGTCACAACAAAAACAACATAATGGGTTTGCGACCAGCATGGATCCAGACCAGCCTGTGCATCCCCGCAGTCTGATCAGGATCCATGCTGTTCGCTTACAAACCCTATAACAAGTAGAGAAAACTGATAGCGAAAAGCATGGATCCTGATCAGACTGCACGGATGCGCAGGCTGGTCTGGATCCATGCTGGTCGCAAACACCCATTGGTCGTTGGTTTGTCATGACGCGGCTCAAATGATATTTGATTAGGATAAACAGACAGGTTTGGTGGTAAAACTTATTGTAGTTGAAGCCATACTAAAACTAAAGTTACCTTTTTATTTCAGATCAACCTTATAATTTGCTTCCAAATGACTCAGTTCCATATAGCAGCAAAATATAGAACCAGAAAATTTAAAACCCTATGCAGTATTAGACCAATTTTAATATCTGAAACCAAAATTTTTTCTATTTTTTTTTCTTTCACACTGTAAACTGACTTGGATTCTTCAGGTAAGTGTTTGCATCAAGGACATAAAAAATAGAAATATAATTTAAATTCTTCATTGGTTTTTGTCTAAAGTTCTTTGGAAAAAATAACAAAGTTAAATTTATTCAATAACAAATTTAATCCTGTGTAAAATATGATCAACATTAATAAATGAACATATCAAGCAGGCAAAATAAAACAATTTTAAAAAGCATTCATTTAACACAGGGACTGTGCTAAATTTCTATAATATTGTCTTCCCCACCATTGCCAAAACATTTGCAAAATTAAATTAAGACTTTTAAGTTTAAATAACACTAAAAGCATTTTAAGACAGCAAAACCATTCATATTATTACAATCATATACTGGTACATAATAAAATATATTTAAATCTACCTTGTTTTTTTTTTTTGTAACCTGAGGAATTCTTAAAAACAATAGGCACTTTTAACAGGAAAAAACATGCAAACTACAGGCTACAAATCATGCATTATAATCTGATGACTAAACTATTCAAATTTGTTATTTTTTAGTTCAGTTAATTAGTAAAGTTTCAGTAAGCTCCATCACCAAACAAGTTCTTTCAGACAACATCTATTACCTAATTATATTCATGTCAACTTCCAGAGAATGGACTGATCCAAAAGTAAGTGGACAGATCCAAAAATAGAAGAAATTTGATGGGTTCATGTAAATACTGTAAATTAAAGTTACTCTGTACTCCTTTATATGGGGACTACATCCTTTACAATGCCCTGGCTTATATAATGCATCTTTAGTTTCCAAAACTTTGTAAGAAAGAACATGATGACATCGGAATTTGAAATATAACTAATGCATCATTAAAAGAAAAAATTGTTGTACACTTATGCCAAAGAAAAAATATTTTCATTTTTCCTCATTTGTAAGCTTGTATGTCACATTCTTCATAAAGAGAAACAGCTATCAAACTTTAACAGCAGAAAAATTATGTGTGTGTATCACAAATTAATTACCCTAGTGAAATTTGTTAAAAATTTTACATAAATATGATATCTTTTCCATATCTTTTTTTCCGATGTTTTACATGCATATATAACTATAATTTCAATATTCACTTACACAAACTGAGATTCTGTATAACAACTGTCATTTTTATAGTTTAAATAAATTAAAAAAATGCTTAAATGATACCATAATTACTTACTTTACCATAAATCACTCATTAACATTTGTTTATCAATCATAGTTATATTTTACCCATGTAAAAATGACATGCCCCTAAAATTTTTAAAATGTTCACAATGCCAAAACTAATTGTTACATACATTCATCTTTTCTTTTCAAATTTTTTTTTCTACATTACAGTAACTATCATCCAATGTCTACATTTTCACTAAAGCTTGAAAACATCATGAAATATCAACGCTGTGAGCACTGTTCAGGTGACAAGTACATCGGCAAAACAACTAAAATTGTCTCATAGCTAAACAGAATAAAGCATACAAAAAAAAAACTGCCATTATATTCATAAATAAATGTGAAAATGTGAGTAATATATTTATATAATTATATAAACTATATTATATAGTGTCCAAGGAACATTATTAAAGTAACATAGCTGTTTTCTTGTATAGTGCTGAAATCAAAATTGCCTTTGCCTTCAGTATAAAGCCACACCAGAGAAACTTTACGCAGCTATATTATGGTGATGGACTAACTACCAAATTTTTCAGTAAAAGTCACACCAAGAAACTACCCAGCTCTTCTGGTGATGGACAAACTTACAAATTTTCTTTCAGTATAAAGCTACACCAAAGAAACTAACTAGCTCTGGTGACGGACCAACTTCCAAATTTCTTGGTGGTATTCCTTTCAGGCAGCCGTATTCACAATGAAAGCAGGACATATCCATTCAAGCATTTTGGAAGGGTATGTGTTAATAACTTTATAATCTATAAATATGAATACATTGTATTAATAATCTGTCCAGATTAATTGAAAAACAAATAATAAAAATCTAACAATATTCATCATGTTCTATCTTCTCTTATAAACACTAATTAACTCTAAGCAAACATTTTCAAAACTATTTGAAAATCAGAACACAAATCTCTGAAACAAAAAACATTTTTTTTAGACAAGCTGAATAATGGCTGCCAATGTGTAAAAGTCCTTGACAAATATTGAAGAAAACTTTGCCCTAGAGATTTACAAACTTTCAACCCTTTAGTGTGCTGGTGGCAACATTTAAAACCAGTACATATCAAGATCTGTCCATAAATCTGTGCAGACTGATAATAGTTTTCACTATATGCTGTTCAGTCAGTATATATTTTGATATTTTGAAAATTTCCCTATAAATAATGAATGTTCTTGTCCACATTGAAAAGTGGACAAGTCCATTTAAGATATTAAGGGCGGTAAGAGTTTAACAGTATTCATATGATGCTAACATACATTTGCATATATTAATATGTGCCGTGTCACGACAAAACCAACATAGTGCGTTTGTGACCAGCATGGATCCAGACCAGACTGCGCATCCGTGCAGTCTGATCAGGATCCATGCTGTTCGCTTACAAACCCTATTACAAGTAGAGAAACTGATAGCGAACAGCATGGATCCTGATCAGACTGGGCAGGCTGGTCTGGATCCATGCTGGTCGCAAACGCATTACGTTGGTTTTGTCGTGACACGGCTCATATAAAGTATACTCTGTTTGTATATCGTAGACTACTGTGCACGTAAAATGTCAAGTAATGGTAAATGCATTTAATTTGATCCAGCAAATATGGACAATATTAAGGTTCTACATTAAACCAGCACTTTAATGTATGAAACATATTTACACTTATTTATGATAAAAATTCATTCTTTTCTCATTCAATACACAAAAACAACCCTTGTTTCTGGAAAACTCTACACTATTTCCATGGCAACAAAGCAATATTGCATTACTCCAGGACTTACAGATATTGTTGTTGAAAAAATCTCCGGAAAAAATTAACCCTTATCTTCATAGATCAATGTGAATCATAAGAAAAAGAAAAGAAAAAAAGAATTTAATTTTTCTTAAAAAAAAAAAACCTTCACGCTTTCTTTTCTGTGAAAAAAGGTAACGTTTTAAACACAGAGTTAAATGTCTAAAAATAATAACCAGAGAACAAAAAGTCAGAAAAATAATTAAGATCTTGTCAGAAAAGATTTGGATATAACAAATTATTTTTGCGAAAACAAAAAAAAAAATCACCTAACTGTTTTAACATATCAGTTTTTTGGTTTTATTTTAAATGAAAAAACTACCATAACTCAATAGCCCTGGACAATTAACAATTCACATTATTGTCTCTTGCCATATATAACAACTACATGTATAACAACAACACAATAATCTCAACATAGTTAATTAAGCTGTGGTCTTGGCCCATATAGAGTCATCACATCCTCTTACTAGCATATCTGATGGTGGATCTACTAAAATAGAATTGTATAACTCCTCTAGTGGCAGTTCAGAGTCAGTTTTTGCCTTGCTTGCTGCCTCATCTACCTGTTTCCTCACATCTTGATCAATTTTCTGAAATTTTTTTAAAAAAAAATATTGTGAATTCACTTAATTTTGTGAGCATGAAATTCTGTGGATTTGTCACTAAAAAAATATATATATATATAAAAATTGATGGGTAAAATGAGTCTTAAATTCATGGATTGTTTTATTTTTCCAGAAGGTAAAATGTAAATAATGCGATAATCTTACAGCAGACAAATCAAAATTTTGTTGGATCTTAAATTCGTGGATTGACATATCTAGGAAAAGTTGGAAAACCATGAAAACTAGTGCCAAACAAATAATAATGATTTTGCAGTAAATGATACATAATACATGTAATAACAAACACCTCTATTAAAATTTTACAATTTTTAGCCATCAAGATTTCTTAATTTTAAGTATTCACTTTGTTTCAGAATCATTTTTTTATGGTCTCCATTGAGTTATTTTATCCAAGCATAGGAAGATTTGTCCAT